CTAATAAATACAAGATAGTAGAGATATGAATTTAAGTAAGTGCTCTATAAATTGAAGACCACTAAGTTCAAATTGCAGGAATGAACCGAAGAATGAAATGCAGTTAAAAGTAAATTACCAAAAGAAGATAGGTCAATGTTGCAAACACCTCTGATGCCACATGACATAAATAACCATAGCGGAAGCTGGACAAAACTAAACGCGAATGATTTAAGAGGATGACAATTGTTGCGCTGGCACAAACGATCAAACAATATTTTAGACTAAAATGCCTCCAAATTAAGATATTAATATCTTACTTCACTTTTTACCTCTGATTCAATATCACTACCATCAAGCCCATACATAGAACGTCTTTCAAGAACTTGAGACTCAAGTATCTTTCTTTTATGAAGAACACTTAGCGAAGTTAGCGCTACTTTGGATGAATTTTGTAAGGAATATACATATAAAGGAAGGGCAACAGAAGTCCTAAGAGTAAACACTAGTCCTATCAGTGATGAAGTCCAGGAGAGGCCAGAATAAAACTGAGTTTCTTCTATAATGTAGGCTAGCCCTTTGACATATAGGTTTTCAGGAGCAAATAATTCTGATAAAGAATCGGAATATACATTTTTAATGTGACTGAATTTCCTAATATTAAAGAGACTACAATAGATCGGAGGCCGTAGGAGGACTCTTGGAAAAAGTCTGGATGCGAGTGCCAAACGAAGCATCAAAATAACCGCCGATCATAAATTAATACATTTTGGCTTAAACATACCAAGCGTATATTGGAATTATCTAAATTTTGGTCGTGTTTAGAAAACAAGTTTTTGCAAAACGCGGACATTGCAATTGGCTTCACGGTTTTTCATGGGCTCGCTTTCTCCTCCTTCCATTTTGTTGACCACCTCAAATGAGGCCTCTCAAGAATGCGTAACAATATGGGACCCCATCGCAGGGAATTCCATTGCAAGATTGTCAGGTGAACAAGCTTCTAGATCGCGAATTTGTTTAATCAATGGACGTTTGTTAGTCGTTCCTGCCGCAAAGAAGCCCCTCCTGCTTATCTGGGACCTCCAAACCGCAGTATGTAAAAATCATTTCAGTTCTTATTTTAGGCAGCAACCCATAAAAAAATTGTTTTGAAAGGTATTGCAACTGCCATATGTTCTTCTCCGGACGGAGTCTACTTATTCCTGGCTATCCATGGAGATATTTTTATTTACCAGGTATCTTTATCTTACTTTTTTATATTTTTCTTAGCTATGTAGCGGGTGCTTAATTGGAGTCTTACCGAACGGACATACTGGATCGATAGGCGAGCTCTGTTTACCATTCTGGTCTTGTCATATGCCACTTTTGTTAGTAAGCGCTGACGCATCTGGCTTCCTCTCTTGTTGGGACCTTGGATCACTAGGAGAGTTTAATTTGGTCATCAAGTCTGATCCTGAATTTTCTTCAAGATCCTTAAAACATGACTCTCCTGCAACGAATTCCGCTTTATGGTATGCAGCTCAGGTCAGTCGGGGATTGCCACGCCTTGGATCATATAGGGATAACATTATAGTTGCCGGAACTGAAGGCCTCAAGGTATATATATTATCCTTGATCCAATGCTTCATTTGAGTACCTAATCGCACCTTTTTTATGTTAGTTTTTTGCTTCTCGGACTGGTGTCGTCACTCGCCAGAAATCATTTGAATGCCCGTTGCATAGCCTCGCCGTCAAGGAATTCAGCAGACTTCTGTTCTTAGGCGGTGATAATGGTATCCTATTTGTGACAACCCTTAGCAATTCGTCTGGAGACAATTTGCTTGTTAGGCGAAGGTGCTTTGTAGAGTCAAGGTAATTTCAGTGTCTCATTTTAGTTGTACTGCTTTGGCTAGTTTTACAATCAACTTTTCGTCAGTGCGACATTTCACTAGGCTGTATGAGTCACTAGAATGTAAGTTGTAAATAAATCTCAATCCTTTTAATGTCGAACTTTGGAAGGGGGTCGGCAGGCCTTAATTTTCCTACTCAACACATGGCCCATCCTTAATCTGCTGCGATTCTTAATACGGCCAAATCTTTTCTTAATCGCTAAAATCCCGTCCACTATCGATTATTTTTAGTTATCGATTGTTTTGAGAAAAGAAGCGAACCTATATTCATGTGCTATTTAGTGCTATAAAGTTTAATGTTTTC